TCCTGTAGGACAGGGGGATGGCACTTCTTCATTCTGGGGTAGTGAAGGCTGAGCTCACAAGGAAGATGGGAGTGCCCCCCCCCCCACGATATAGCCATGTACCCTAGCACCCCGCCTGTCTGGTTCCCAAACAAAAGCTTCCTGGGGAGACATGCTCCAAAAATCCCAGCTCAAGTCAGCACTCTGGTCCTCTTGAGTGGCTGATCTCAGCAGGATGGAGCTGGCCCAGTGATTCAACAGGTGAGGGGCTGGGGTATCCAGCTGTGTGCTCGAGGTATGGAAGACCAGCTCTCTTTTCAGTCACACAGTTTAGTCACTGTCTGAGTCCCCACCAAGAGCCTCCCCAGAAAAACAAGGGCCTCAAAATTCACTGCTAGGTACAGCCCACAGGCCTCTCTGCAGGACGTGAACACAGCAGGAGTGACACTGCCAGCAGTCGGAGATCAGGGGTGCACTCCCCAGGCTGGGCTGTAACAATAGGAAGCTTGTCCCTGGAAGGTGGCATCTGAGTTTCCCAGGCAGACTGAATCCCCACTGATTTTGCCTACCAGATACTATGCAAGCTCCTCTTTCCATCTCTATGCTCTGGGTTGGGGATCCCTGCATGGGGCTGATATCCCACACTCCTGAGGAAAGGAAGTTTTGTGGCCACAATATCCCTCCAGTTTTGCAGCCACTGCACCTGGGTGCAGGATCGAGCCCTTTCCACATCCCCACCTTTCTCACTAGTCTTTATGTAGCTTCTTCTGAGAGTCCTTGGTTTGGTTATAACGTTTCAGTTCAGCTAGCCTTCAGTTGGTTATTCAGGTGTGAATAAATTATAGAGCAATCATGCTCTATAATTTAGCTGTAAATCTGGGGCCAAGAGCAGATAAGTATAGCTTCCACCTACTCTGCAGCCATTTTGGAATTGATATTATATTTTTTAGATTTTCCTTTTATTCTTCTCTTTCTCAGTTTCCTTTGTTAGTTCATCCCCCTCTAGTTGATCCTTAAATGTTAGTACTCCCCAAATCTCTGTTGTAGGCCTTCTTTTTTCTTCTCATTCCACGTTTTTGTTGTAAATCTTATCATATTGGTAAATTACTATTTGTACACAAAAATTATTCCTCTTGAACCATTTTCCCAATATTTCCACTTGAAGTGATGCCTCAGAAGAAGCTATACTGGTCCCAAGGCTGACTGCATATCTTTCCTATCTTCCAGTGTTATCTGTTTCAATATAGAGCACCTCCACTCATCTAGCTCTTCATGCTCAGAACCCAGAAATCACCCTTTCTTATTTTTCACATCCTAATTACCAAAGCTGGTTGGTTATATCTCCTAAATGTCTATGGAATCTGTCTACTCTGCATTTTTTACCATCCTAGCCCAAGTCACTATAACTTCTCACTTGGCCTCCTGCAATAGTCTCCTAACTAAATCCCCATTCACTCTTGCCTCAAAGTCCAAAACACCTTAATGTTGTACACAGGGCAAGGAGACACACACCACTAGTGATACACTGTTTAAGTATAGAATAGGTTTACTAAGAAAAACTTACTGAATTGGCCAAAAAGTCCACATGGTTTTTCCTGTAAAATAAAAGACATATTTTTCATTTTCACCGATAACTTCACTGACTTGATTTTGAATATGTTGGGCATCTTCCGGGTGGTAGAACACTGACTATTCTGTCTTGATTTGATTGCTATCAACTTCAATTGGTCTACAAGACCATGGAATATTGTCCAGCAAAAAATCTCCAGCATAAAACTTCGTAAAAGTTTTGACACATTCAATCAGTCACAGCATGTTCTCCAAACACTGTAAAAATCTTTCTTTGCATTTCAGTTGTGTTTTTACCTTTCTTGAAATAATGAATAAAGCATTATATGCTCAAAATGTTGCATATTTTATTCCATCTTCAACATTAAAATGGCTCCACAAAAATTCACTAATTTTGATGTTTTTAAAAAAATGCATGCTGATATGATAGCTGTCACAACACAATCTAACAAAACTGTTTCGAATGAAGTTAAAGACAACTAACTGCTACTAGAGCCATTTTGTGGACAAAAACAAATGAACTTTTTGGCCAACCCAACAGAAGCAAAGAGAAACAGCAGTTGCACACACTCTCTGAGCTACCATTATCTCACAGAAAGGCACAGTTAGGCCAGAAACGGAGATATGATAGAAAGTGCTCCTGAAGGGGCACCCCCTCCCCAACTACACAGGAACACTGGGAAAACTGCTGAGCAGTAAAGGATTTCTAGGCAGGGGTATGGCCTTGACAGAGAAGAGAACACCTAGAGCTCAGTTTTGGGAGGTGGTATAACAATTACCAATGACCGTTAGATACTTTGTTTTCCCTTTGAATTATCTGTTCCTGCTGAACCCAAAAGAGAAAACAAAAGGAACGATTAGGCCATCAAGAAACCAAGATCTGTTTCTTAACTCAAGATCAGGTATGTGCCAATCTTTTTAGTCTTATTCCATGTTTCTTACTTTCTATGCTTCAGCCACACAGGCCTTCTTTCAATTCCTTACTGAGTTAAGTTCTTTCTCTCCTCAGGGTCTCTGGACACATGTTGCTTAATTCTTTTTATTTACTTTATTTATTTTGCTAACTAACTGAACTCCTACAAGATTCTTTTTCAGGTCTCATTTTAATTTTTTTTTTAGCTGATACTAGCCTCTTTTATTAAGAGTTACCAAATCCAAACTATGGCTGAGATGAGAAAAGCATATCTAAACTCTCCATGACAGAACATCAGTAAAAACAAAGGACAGTGGACAAACCAAAGGGAGGTAGGAGAAAGGGTGGGAAGTGGGGATGGCTGGAGTGGGAGGAAATGCAGGGGAAAAATGGAGACAACTGTAGTTGAACAATGCTAAAAAATATATAAATAAATACATAAAATATTAAAAAAGAAACAAAAACTCGGGCCTCAGTTTCAATGTTACTTCTCAAAGAAGTCTTTCCTGACATCCTCAATCAGGTTACAAGTCCTAACAAAAGCACTCAGCATATTGTATGTACCCTTTTCAGAGTGTATCTCAATAGAAATAATAACTATTTGTGCAATTATTTAACATCTGACCCTTGCCACAGTAGGAGGTCTTTAAATGACAGCAACCATAGCTGCCTTGCTTGGTCTGCAGTCCTAGTAATTAGCTGAGTGCCCAGACATAATCATGCTCAATCATTACTTGTTAAATGAATGAAGTGAGGACCTGAAGAGATCAGGTAAAGCAAGATGACTTAGCAGTATTTACTAATTAGTAGCAATTCTATTTCTGATGTTTTTTGGCCTTAGATTTTTGAGGAGTAGGATGACCCTGAGCCCACACCTAGCACACATCTAGCTCAAATGTGGGAGCCATACAAATAAACATTTTCTATAACTAATATAGGGGTAAGAGAGCTAGGGCTTTAGAATATTCTTATATGAGCAAACAAATCATTATTTTACACTACTCTGTGCAATCTATTGATTAAAATGTTGAAAGAAATATGAAGACCTGATTCCTAACTTGAATAAGCATATTTTCACTTAGAAAAATAATATTTACAAAGAAAACTGGTAACTAGGAACTCATCAATAAGGGCAAAGTACATAAGGATGGTATGACCACAACAGCTAGAGAAGGATGGATAGAGGAATGATGCCCAGCCTTACTTATCCTTTTGTCCCATTAAAACCACCTGGGAGCATTTAAAAAAATACTGATGCTCAGGTTCCACCTCCAGGGATGCTGATTTTAGTTGGTGATGGACTCTGTGCATTGGTATTTTTTAATCCTTACCCAAGGACATTATTTCATTGCTTTTAGAGAGAGAGGAAAGGAGAGAGAAAAATCACGTGGTTGTCTCCTGTACGCAGCTGGATAGAGGATCATACGCACCTGGACCGGGGATTAAACCCACAACCTAGGTGTATACTCTAGTCGGAAATCAAACCTGCAACCCTTCGGTTACAGGATGTCACACCTACCAACTGAGCTGCACTGGCCAGGGCTGTGCATTGATATTTTTTTTAAAAGCTCCCCAGGTAGTTCTAGCGTGCAATCTGGATTGAGAACCACTGGTGTAAAAAGGAAAGCAGTAACTTTACTGAAGAGTTGGTATTCAAAATGCTTCTTTTAAAAGGTGAAATTTGAATAGGCAAAAAGGAGTGGGATCTTTTTAAATGGAGATTAAGGAGTAATAAATGTCAGTAAGACGCAGAATGTAAAAGCATAAAGTGTGTGTGGGGATGGAGGATTATTAATGAGTAGACAGGCCACTGTGCCTGGAGCGGTGTTGGCACAGGGGGATAGTAGAAAATTCTTTGCATTGTTATCCTGTAGGCACTGAACTCGTACCTCTAGGTGCTACTGAACATTTTTGCTACATTACTGGCATGATCAGAGCAGTATTCTATGACAGAAGTCTAGGTTTAAGTTGATAAACTCCTGAATTACATGGTAGCTATAAAAATGAAAGGTGTGGATAAAGAGATAACAAAACAGATGAATCCAGTAAGATTTTTTGGCAGAGCTATAAATGGCATGATAAGACTTTAAAGTCACACTGATACTTCTAATAATAGCAAACAGTACCATAAAAACACAACTTGATTCTTTCTTCTAAACTCCTTTAGCACTCAAATACGAACATCTCTCATTCATTAGCAATCATCCTACTTCTCTCTCTAGGGTTTATTTATTTTTTTCTTAAAAAGGGAATAAATGCGTTTTAATACGTTTTAGTGTGTGTATATGAGAAGGAGGTGAGATTTAAACTAAAAGGAAAAAGACAAAATTGGAAGTAACACTTAAATGGTTAATCCATTTTATCCTAAAGAAGTATTTAAAAATTACCTTAAAATAAATAAAAAATAAAAGTTACTTTCATAATTTGATGGTTAAGGAATATTATGCTAAGTTTTTTATTTTGAAGCAGATCATAAGACATCTCTAATCAAGTTCCTTTAATTTCAAGTAACAATTAAATAGCTATTTCTATATCATACCTTGTGTTTGGTCATGGTGCTAAAATGATTATTCCGAAAGAACACACAAAGTTCTCCTTCCTGAACCGTTGAAGTTAGTTCACATAATCCATGGTATGTCAGTTGAGTGGCTGTGTTATTTAGAAACTGCTCAGCTACAAAGCCTATGGAACCAATGCATAATATTAGATGGAAGAATAATTTGAAAATTTAAAGTTTTTCTATTTACATTGTGTTCCAAGTGTGAAAAAAGGCCAGTCAGAACAAGACTTCTCTCCTACTGTAACATTATGGACCCAACTGGAGATTCTACTGTTTTATTTTGGAAGATGTGTCTATAGACATTCCCATCCTAAAGAAACAGTTAATGTACGTACATATACTGTTTTTATCTGTTAATATACTTACATATACTTTATCGACTTTCAAAAAGGATTTCAAGTGGCTTGCAACAAAACACACAGACACAATAAAATTAAAACCCACTAAGACAAATAAGGCAAGAGTTAGCAATTTAAAAAATGTGTAGGAGTGAGAGATGTATGTCAACAGCTACTTCCCCAGTGATTGGTGTTTAGAAATTAAAAGTGGTCTTAACAAATTAAGTTGCTTAAGATTTTAACAAAGGTCCCAAATAATTCTCAATTCACAAACTGCTCAATTCATGCCTAAAACTAAAACTAGGTGTAAAATTGAAAACAGCGGATAACTGATGCCATTATTATCCTAATCTCCTCCAACATATACCACTATATATGAGGGGGGATCCCCCTAAAAAAACCAGAAGTATCTTTTGGAGGGTGGGTCCCTGGTAGTACAGGCTTCCCACACCAGGAGAATGTTCTAGGAACCCATCTGTATCAGTGTATCAGCTGGTGTTGCTGTGAGAGGCTGCATCTGGCTTCAGTGATTTTGTTTTGAAGGCTCTTTCAACACACTGGCCCATTTCATGATGGGTGATTTAAGTGTACCTGTCCGCACAGTGCTGAGTGTTCAGCAGTTTTTGACCAAGAATAACACAATCCCAGTGTCCCACCCTCTTTATTCACCTGATCTTGCCTTGAATGATTTTTGTTTCCCTAGATGAAAAAAGTCCTTAAAGGGAAACATTTTGCCAATGTGGAAGGAGTAAACAAAAAACAACAGTAGCAAAAAATTGGCATCAAATTGAGATCAAAACTGTTTTGAGCAGTGGGAAAACATCTTGATAGGTGTATTGCCTCAAACTGAGAGTCCTTTGATGGTGATTGAAGTTTTAACATGTAAGAATAAATGCACAATTTTTTATAAATAAATTCTGAAGGTTTTTTGGGTTCTACCTCATGTAGTATACATGTGTGTGTGTGTGTGTATATATATATATATATATATATATATATATATATATATATATATATAGTTCAGAAACAAATAATCTCTTTTGTTTTCAAAATAAAATATAAAGAAGTTTTGGGGTTTGATTTAAAAGATACATGAATAATTGATTCCTGTTATTGGCCACATTTACCTACTAGCTAAAATTTATTTATAACTTTAAAACTAATACCTGCTGTGCTTTCAGGATCATTCCTGGATATGTGCAAGGCTGCAAAGAAACTGAGTTGCCAAACATGCCAAGTCCCTACTGAGGTCAAACAGTGCAACATTCTGCCTTGTTTCAGCTCTCATACTGTAACAAATACCCTTCCCACAACTGACTGAGTGCCACATTCTTCCCATTTTGGTGGTTTTGGGGGGATGATATTTACAGTGTGAAATGGCCCCCAAGCATAACACTGGAGTGCTTGCTAGTGTTCCTAAGTGGTGGATAAAGGCTGAGGTGTGACTATGGAGAAAATTCACATTTTTGCAGCTCTGTTCAGGTGAATTATAGTGCTGCTGGCTATGAGTTTAATGTTACTGAATCAACAATATATATTAAATAAGGTACCTCTAAACAGAAATGCACATAAAACAAGGTTATATACTTATGAGTTGATGAAAATCTTGTGACTAGAGGCTCATAGGGAACCTAATCTTGTGTTTCTCATAGGAGCACTGGTTAAATTATTCACTAATTAATCCAGTTTTCATAGCAACTTTATAGAATAGTGATTTTCAACCAGTATGCTGCAAGAATTTTTAAAACATGCAAATACATGACTACTCAGTCAGGGGCACTGACCTCTTTTTCCTTAGATGGTCTAATAAAAAATGACAACAGCCAACACAACGATAGCCGTCTGATGTTAATGAATCAGACTTATACCTATTTTTTCATGTCTGATTGGCAAAAAACTTTTTTGGTGTGCCATGGAATTTTAATAATTAGTTTATGTGTGTCATGAACTGCAAAAGGCTCAAAATCACTGTTATAGAACATAACTGCTGGGAATGAGAATCAACTTTATAAATATTTTAAAAGCCTGTATTTTTCTATCTTTTTCTCTTTTTTTTCCTTCTTCTAATAAAGAAGAAAAGTCTCAGAAATAATAGGAGGAAAAGAGTGCTCTCAAACACTTTGTAAGCGAGTAGAGAGGTGCAAATATGGGCAATAAAGTTGAACCTGTGTTCAGAAGCTGATGACTCAACAAGAAACCGAAAATAAACTTGGTAGGGCCAGGGGCGGCTGGAGGGCACAGGCATCCCACTCACGCTCCGCCCTCACCTTCAGTGTCAGGCCACAGCACTTTGAGCTGGAGTGGTTGTAAAACGTTACCAGTATATCACACTATTACAACAAATTGGTTAGGGCAGGAGAGGAAGTGCAAAACATACAGAAGGCCACAGCAAAAGGGAATTTATAGGCGTTTGCAACTTCTGGGGTTAACAAATTTAGAAATAGAGTCGCCCCCCTCAATTACTATTATTACTTTGCTAAATACTAAGTTATTGAGTAGAATATGTGGGTTATATACTGAAGCATGTACTGTTGTACAGCATTTTAAAATGTGGTGCTGAGAAGCACCACTGCTGGGTTACTAAACACTTCCTTCACAAAGATATTTCTAAATGCTCCTCCAACACCTCACTCACACAATGTCCTCTTTACAAATCCTCTCTAGAAAACACGAACATCTGCCCTGGCTGAGCAGAGCAGCTCAACTGGTGAGTAGTGTCCCGAGAAACATCATGGTGGCAGAGGTTTGATTCCCGGTTAGGGCAAACACAAGAAGCAACCAATGAATGGACAAATAAGGGTAACAACAAATCGATGTTTCTCTTTCTCCAAGACTAAAAGAAAAAAAACTTTTTTTTTTAAAAATAGAAGACCAAAAATTCAATGGAGGTAGAGCTCAACATCACTTTCATGTGTATGAAATTCAAAACTTCAACATCAGAAAGGGCTTTCTCAGCTTCTTTCTGTAGAACAGAACAGAAGAGGCTCAGAGAGAATAAGTAACTTTCTTGAGGACAAAAACTACTTATGGAAAAATAAAGATTGGAACCCAGGAGAATTATTGGAATTGTTAAAAAATTAGCTTCTTATTACAAATGCAAACTAAATTATATTTCCACACAACAATAAAGCACAGTAATTTAGACTTGTAGAGAACAATGTTTCCTAATTCTTTTACCAGCACTTAAACAATGACATCCCTGTGATTTTAGTGGAATATTCAAAAGCCTAATCCAGTTTCAACTTTTCACAACTAAACAAATTTTGGTAAACAATTCTAAGTGTTACATAGCAGTTTATTTACCTGCATTGCTTCAAATGACAGTTTATTTGCAATACTTAGATTCAATTTCAATTTTATTATTATAGATAGTATTATTAATGAATGTAAAAATTATAATAATGGTAGCAATAATAAATATTACTGAAAATAAATTTAAATTAAAAATTATTTTCCTGACAGCAGTGTATTTGAAAATATCTCCTGGTTTCAGAAATTCAACACTAACGTAGTTTATCAAATTATTTTCCTTTATTAATGAAGAGTTATTAGAGAAGATGAAAGTTCTGACTGCCTGATGTGAAATTAGAATGAGAGGCACTAAAATTAAGCAAAAAGGAACAAAAAGAGGTAATGACGTAAAAAGAGGCCCTGCCCAGCATGGCTGAGTGGACTGATACCAGCCTGCAAATTAAAAGGTTGCTGGTTCAGTTCCTAGTCAGAGTCAGGACACATGCCTGGGTTATGGGCCAGGTCTCCAGTTCAGGAAGCACAAGAGGCAACCACACACTGATGTTTCTCTCCCTCTCTTTTCCCTCCCTTCCCTCTCTCCAAAAATAAATTTTTAAAAATCTTAATAAAAAGCATTACAAAAATTCAGATTATTTAAAAACTGTGGCTAGTGGCCCTGGCTGAGACTCATGTTCAAATTAAAACTCAGTCAAAATTTAACTATGTCACTGTGATAGCTTTGAACAAATGATGTGATTCTCTTTTTAAATTCATCTACTGTGAGATTCCAAAATCAAACACAGTGTATTAATATTTGTCTTCAAGTGGATGGGACAAAAAAATCTCTTTTAATATGAAAATATAGGGGCTCATAGGATTCAATTCCATGGAAGCAGTAGGGAGCCCAGAACTTCTTATTGTACTAGAACATAAGGGAATACTCAAGAAATGATGAAAACATGTCAAAAGAAAACTGGATTCAGCTTGAGATCATCCCATTAGCCTTATCTGGGATAATTCTAAACATTGAAAAGAATAATGATAACAAAGAATCTATAATATGCTGAATAAGATACTATCCATGAGTCTACACTGATAAAGAAAAAAATTTTAATATTTAATTTATTTATTTTTAGACAGAAGAGAAGGGAGAGAGAAAGAGAGGGAGAGAAACATCAATGAGTGGTTGTCTCTCACATGCCCCCTACTGGGGACCTGGCCTGCAACCCAGGCATGTGCCCTGACTGGGAAAGAACTGGTGACCCTTTTGTTTGCAGGTCAGCACTCAATCCACTGAGCCACATCGGCCAGGGCTGATAAAGGAATTTTTTAATGGGGTAAGGAAAAGAAGGGAAACTACTTTTATAAGATGCCAATTAATAAATGTAAAAGAAATAACATTACTTTATATTATAAAGAAATATTATAACTACCATATTAATAATTGATTTAACAAGAATCAAGAAATGCCAACTGTAGTGGGTGAAAGATTATTAGGAAACAAGGTATTCACACAGTTTCAAAGAATTAAGATCAGAGATTACTTGTTAATTACAAGAGCAAAGGGCTTTTCAACAAAAAATCTGGCAGACACCACCTTAATTATTGTGAACATCACCAATAATGAATTGATGACACCACGTGCTATCTGATTTGATGCACTGGGGGACATACAATGTCACCTATGTAGTATTTCCACCAAAAAGATATAACTTAAATCTACTAAGAAAACAATCACATGAATCCAAATGGAGGACTATTGTATAAAACAAGTGGCCTGGACTACTAAGAAAAGTTGATGTCACAAAAGAACAAACAGAAAAACAGAAAGAAAAAGGGTTAGCGATGTGTTTTAGATTTTAAGAGACTAAAATGATAGGACAATTAGATGATCCTTGATTGAAGCCTGCATTGAAACATTTAAAACCTGTAAGGGGCATTATTGGGACAATTGGGGAATTTTGAATATGAACAATATATTAGATAAGAGTATTGTATCAATGATAAATTTCCTGAGATAATTTTAAGGAAATTATATAGGAGAATTCTTTGTTCTTAGGAGACAAATGTTAAAGTATTAATGGTTAAAGTGCTATGATATTTGCCACTAATTCTCACATGACTTAGGAAAAAACGTGTGTGAGAATATGAAAAGAAAGCAAAAATTCAATATTTTAATAATTGCTAAATTTAGGTAAAGCATGTACCTGCACACACAAACACATATATTCATGGTACTATTCCACTGCTTTTATTGAGATTTTTTCAAAATAAAGAAAAACAATACTGTTTAATCAAAGTTATATGAATTTAAACTATAACCTTCAGTATATATATATATATATATATATATATATATATATATGGCACATAAAGGCTCAATAAATATTTGAAGTAATGAATATTTAGAAATTATTTATTTAAATATATGTGTGTATATATAGATAGATAGATAGATAGATAGATAGATAGACACATAATTATACACACACACACATTTAACCTGGAAATAACTGTTAAAGAAGAAATTATTCCTTAGAACACGTAGAATTAAATGACCAACTCTGGTGAAGTCTGGCAGCTGGTTCTGTGCTATTTTTTTTTGTTTGTTTGTTTTTTGCTGCCTTGCCACAACATACCATTTTAACTAGATTCAAAAAAGTATGAATACCCAGGTGAGGTAGCAAATACATACTCTGTACATGTAAAAATTTTGTGCTTTTACTTTAAAAGTGTTGCCATCGAAATAAAATGAGTATCATCTGAAAGAAGTTGAAAGTATATTTTATTCTATTTGACTGTCAGCTAAATAATATTTATCTCTTTATCAGAAAGAATGATAAGTATTTCTAGTATTCTGCACCTTATAAAGATGAAATATTTGAATTAAAAAAATTAGTTACCATCTCAGAATGAAGTTTAATACATTTTAATGCAGAAGGATTAGAAATAACCACCTTTTGGATATTTTATTGATGCACAAGAAAGATTACAGTTGTAGGACAAACAGAAAAGAAAGCAGACTACTTCAGTTGAACACTATACCCAAGAAAATATGATGAAGAAAATGATAAAGGGAAGCTAGTTGCTACATTATAAATAAAAATGTCTGCTGTGGCCTCTTTTTTCCTATGATTTCTTAGTGCCTTACACAAGTAACCATTGGGGTTAAATAATTATTTCAAACATGACACACTTGTAGTTTCTGATAAACAAAAACTAGTTTAGCATTTTAAGTGTAGTGAATTCTCTATATAATTATTTCTTGATCTGGAAATCTGATGTACAGAATTTCATCATTATAAAATGTATATATATCAAGGAATTAATGAATTCTGGTATATAATGCCCCCAAATCCTGTACCACTAAAAAAGATAATCCCTTTCTTGCTTTTATCAAGATGTTCTTCTCAAGCTAGAAATACTATATAAATTAGCTATTATTTTTCATTATCCTAGGGAGTCAATGTCAGAGAAATAACATTAACAACAACAACAACAACAATAATAGTTGTAGCATCGGGTTGAGAAACGGAGAAGAGAAAAAGGGACTGGGGTTTGTTATTGTTGTTGTTGTGCATTTGTTAGTTAGTGTATTACCTAAGTCTTACCGTGTTACATTACAGGTCGACTTGAGAAACTATCGACCTGTAAAAATGCTGTTAAACTGTTTCCTATAGCTTTTTACCCTATAAATCTACTCACCCAAATATCACTTCTTGGTTATCATTCTGTTAACACTTTTGAACCCTATTGTTCCCTCCATTATGGAATAGCATATTGGAAGTTACTGTGAAAGTAGGAATCTGTAGATGGAAATTTTCTATATAGCTTGCCTTTTAGGAATATATTTATAGTAATAAAAGATTGCATAAATTCTAGTTAGTGAAATTTTGTTAACTGAGATAAAACATTTTTAACAGTTTTTGTTACTCTTCTTCCCCCTAAAATTTAAACTTTGCTGCCTTCAGTTGTAGTGAAAGTGCTGTCATGCAAATCAGTGACCAATATCCCTGTATATTTATTTATGTGTTTATTGCAAGTAGAAGACTAGGATAAACCTCAACTAAAATGCAGTGTATTTTCTTGCTACTTGCCTCTTGCATAAACATGCTAAACTTACGGATAATGGGATCATATAATTAATTGGGTTCTGACTAATCAATACCATATGGGATTCATGTACATGTCTTCTTTTCTATGCTTTCATATACTTTTGTAGTCTCTTAATTTTAACTTTTAAAAAATAAAGCACTGGCTGGTGTAGCTCAGTGGATTGAGTGTGGGCCTGTGAACCAAGGGTCACTGATTGGATTCCCACTCAGGGCACATGCCTGGGTTACAGGCCAGGTCCTCAGTAGGGGGCGCACAACAGGTGACCACACACTGACGTTTCTCTCCCTCTCTATCTCCTTCCCTTCCTCTCTCTAAAAATTAGTAAATAAAAACTTTAAAAAATGTAGTAATTATAATACATATATTATAATAACATACCATATTTAAAAGAATTGTGTGTCTAAAAATAATAAAGCTCACTCCCTACTTTCCATGATTTCTCTTTTGTGTTTAACAAAAAACAAAGGAAAACAGCAGCCTCAGTATTTGAGCATATTTATTAAAAAGTGTAGTGGGTGGTAGAGAAGGTATACCCAAATGCTATGGCTCCTGATAGCATTCTGGTTTCAAATCTGCTCTTTCCTTCACTGTTTGGAATACTACTGAAAAAAATATGAAACTCCTTCTATGATGATGAACTTAACAATTTCAATTAGCTAAGGATCAGGAAAACTGAATGATCAAGGGTATGATCCTTAATCAACTTTGATCCAGAATGGAGCTTTACTATACTATTTATATTGTACTGAAACATAAGACAGAGCTCTACAAAAATGAACATGTAAGTACTATAATACTCATCTCAGTCCACTGGAGTGTTCAGGATGAATTATACAGTTAACGTAGTACTTCCAAATAAGAATTATTTTTAAAAAGTGAAATTATCAGTTACCTTAGGGTAACTCATATGAAAGCTAGCTGGAGATTCCAAAGACTTACTAAAATGCAGGCCTCATTTCACAAGTAAAGAGGTTTCTAGAGAAAACCTTTCACTGGCAACTTTATGAATAATTATTTTTCTTAATTTCTACAAGCAGTAACATTTGTGTTTGAGAAGTTTTATTTCAGACATTTATAAGACATTAAATTATCAGATAAGTTATTTTGCCATGAATAAGTCAGGAAACAGCAACACTCACCCACCTTCACTAACCAGCTCACTATTGTCTGACTGCTTACAAGAGATGATCTTCTCCACTAGTTGGTTGTAGCTGCAGTTACCAACAGCTTTTACAATGTCATCAATCTAGAAAACAAAAGACTGTTTCACTAATCATGATTAAGATTAAAAACAATAACAAAGAAACCTGTATCACTCTTCAGAGTTTTATTCTAATACAATACAAAATTTACAAATATTACTTATTAAAAAAATCAACACGAAAATTAACACCCAACTGTTTCCAATTTTGCTTACGGCTATAACATATTATAAAAATATTGCTCAGCTGTATTTCAATTACCCAAAAAAATAATTAAATGAAATTATTACATGCAACTTTATTTCTTAAGGTTTCAAAGATTCACATAAGTGATTAAAATAAAAAATAAAGTATTTCGGGAGGAAAAATAAGAAAATCTCAGTTTTTTTTTTACTGAAATACAAATGTTTTGTGTTTAAAGCAAGGAAAATTTAAAGGTGTTAATATATGAAATTAATTTTTTTCATTTTATTTATTTACTTCCCAGCCAGGTGTGGTGGAAATAAAAGTAGACATAACTATTTTATTTTCCTAAAGAAAAGTTAATGTATATTAATCAGGGACAGTATTCACCTAGTGATTCTTATTTAATATTTGTCATTGGAGGTACACTAGAAAAGTAAATTCAGTGTTTTAAGCCATAGGAAAATAAAATTGGGCATCTCTATTCTCCCTGCATTATATTTTGATTATTGTAGAAAAATAGATTTATACTGTATAAACAATGTATTTTGATTGCCTTCTCATCCCTAACATATATTTATAAACTATTTACATGTACTACTATATTAATAAAATATATGAATAAAACAAGTACAAATTAATACAATGCTATAAAAAATAAGAGGGCCAATGTATTCTTTCCAATCCGAATGATCTTGGATACTTACTCTCTGAATACCACAGATCTTGACATATATCTGCACAAATAATAATATTCTAAGCAATAGTTCCCCAACTGGGGAGCTTGTTAAGAAGCTTTAAAAGAATTCTAGCCCAAGCTGCTTATCAATGTTCTAAGTTTTATCCCATTGCTGGAGAGCAAAGTACGAGAACAACTGCTCTGCTCTAAGCTATAATTTATTTTCTTTGTTCCTGCAAAATCCTACAATGGTTAAAAAAAAAAAAAACTCTAGACAATGCAAGTGGGACTGACGGTTGGTTGAGAAGATCAGTAAATTGAAAAAGTCAAAGAAGTGATGTAGAAAATGTGTGTGTGTTGTTGTATGTAGTTGTATATATATATACACATACACATATATATCTTAAAGATTTCATATTAACTTGTTAATCTTTTGATGCACAGCCAAATAAAGCCTTTTCTTTGAAACAGGACCTGTTGTCTATTAGTCTATGTAAGCCACATAAAACAGTATGACTTCCAGCTTTGCTTCATTTAAAAAGAAAACTTAAACCCTTAAAAAGCAATTTGAGGGCATATTCCTTTACATTTTCATTATTTTTGTTAACACTTTAACTGTTTAGATCAATTTTCTTTAGTGAGTCAACCTTATTGTCTTTCAAAGAATCTAAATTTTCAATCTTAAGGAATCCACAAAAATACAACTACAATAAAAATACAGGATCAATATACAAAAATCAATTGTACTTATATAGACTAACAATGAGCAATACAAAATTTCAAGTTTTCATAAGTTGAATCTCTGTATTAGTATTTCATTTAATTAATTCATTTGGGTGCCTTTTATATACTACTATATACCAGGTCCCGTTAGAGAAAATGCAGACACATCAGTGAACAAAATAGATCTATGCTTTCAACAAAGTTTATATTCCAGAGCAAAAACAAATAATAAACCAAATAATCGAATAGATAACATTCATGGTAGTTGTATGTAGTGGTGTGCAGCTATTCTTTTTCATTGTTCTGAATATACTGTAATATATTTATTTATCCCCTTAATCACTATAACATTATTTTATTTTTAAATTATGTTTTATTGATTATACTATTGTATTTGCCCCCAATTTTTCCCCTTTGTCTGGCTCCACCCAGGATCTACCACTCCCACAGGCAATGCCCACACCATTATCCATGTCCATGGGGATCATGCATATAAATTCTTTATCTATTCCATTTCCTATACTGTATTTTCCATCCCCATGGCTATTCTGTAACTACCTATTTGTACTTAATACCCTCACCTTATCACCCATTCCCCTACATGCACTTCCCATCTGGCAATCATCAAAATGCTCCCTGCACCATAACTCTGTCTCTGTTCATGTTTGCTTAGTTTATTTCTTAAATTCAATTGTTGACAGATATGTATTTATTTCTATTGTATTGTTAGAAGTTTGTTCTTTTAAATCAATGTATGGTTGCTTCTGGTGCATCCCCTGCTGGGAACTAGCCCCTGCTGGGAACTGGCCTGAAACCCAGGCATGTACCCTGACGGGGAATCAAACAGCGATCTTCTGGTTTACAGGCCAGTGCTCAATCCACTGAGCTACACCAGCCAGGGCTTGTTAGTAGTTTTGACTTTTTCTTAAGTAAGTTCCAGTAACATATAATGGTTTTGGTGATAATGAACTCCTTTAGTTTTTGCTTGTAACAGAAGGTCTTCATATGACCTTCAATTCTAAATGACAGCTCTGCTGGGTAGAGCAGTCTTGGTTATAGGTCCCTGCTTTACAAGACTTCCAATATTTGTCAATCTCTTCTAGCCTGCAAAGTTTCTGTACAAAAATCAGCTGACAGTCTTATAGGAACTCCGCTGTATGTAACTAACAGTCTTTCTCTTGCTGCTTTTAAGATTCTGTCTTTATCTTTAACCTTCAGCATTTTAATTATGATGTGTCCAGGAGTGGGTCTCTTTGCATCCATCTTGTTTGGGACTCTTGTACTTGCTAGACTTGCTCATCTACTTCCTTCACAAAATTAGGGAAGTTTTCTTTCATTATTTTCAGATAGATTTCCAATTTCTTGCTCTTGCTCTTCTCCTTCTGGCACACCTGTGATGTGAATGCTGGAATGCTTCAAGTTGTCCCAGGGGCAGCTTACACTATACTCATTTATGGGGGGGGGGGGTCCTTTTTCATCTTGTGTTGTGATTGGTTGCTTTTTGCTTCCTTATGTTCCAAACTTTTGATTTTATTCTTGGCTTCATCGACTGTACTATTGTTTCCCTGTAAGTTGCTATTTCTTTCCTTTGACTGTATCATTTTTATGCTATTGAGGTCCTAAGTTCCTTGAGCATTCTCATAAACAATGTTTTGCAACTCTGCATTGGATAGATTATTTATTGCCATTTGTTTAGTTCTTTTCTAAAGTTTTGATCTGTTCTTCCATTTGGGCAATGTTTCTTTGTCTCCTCATTTTGGCAGGCTCCTCTGTGTGTTTCTGTGTATTAGGCAGAGCTGCTAGGCTTCCCTGTCTTGGTAATGTGGCCTAATGTAGTAGGTGTCCTGTAGAGTCCAGTGGCATAGGCTCCCCTATTACCCAAGCTGATATTCAATATGTACCCTTCATGTGGGTGAGCACACACGCTCCTCTTATTATTGAGTCTTGGTTGATGCTGGCAGGTCAATGAGAGAGATTTACCCGGGCCACTCAGCTGCAAAAACTGCCTGTGACCACTGAAAACCAGCCTTTGCCCTCTGTGGAGAATCAGCTATGCAGTGGTAGCATGGCGGTGCTCTGACATGGTTTACAGCTGTCCACTGGATGTGCAGACTCTAGAGTTTTCTAGGTGATGCAGGCCAAGGTCCATCCCCACCTGTGTTCTGCCTAAGGTCACCCTGCATGAGCTATAATGAGATGGCTGTTACTTGTGCTGGAGTTGTGGACTCCCAGGCAAAGCCAAGCTGTGAATCTAGGCTGGCTAGTGCTGTGCTTATGGCCACTCAACACAAGGTATGGAGGCTTGGGCCTTGCTGAGGCCAGCGGTGGCTTGTTTGATAGGATCTAGGAAGTTGCAAAGCATAAGCCAAGACCAGGCACTGATATGGAAAAGCCACTGCTAACAGATTGGGTGGGCCCATAAGTTCAGTGGGGTGGAGCCTCAGGGGTTCAAGAAGACAGAGCAAACCATGTCAGCCAAGAGATAGAGTTTCATATATGGCCCCTGTCAGCTCTGTGGCTCTTTTGGGGGGGGGCTCAGAAAGCCCTTAAAGGGAATATGAAAAAGCCCTTTTGTGGGGTCTCTGCCCACCTTTCTGTCTGGGAGAAAGCTGTCTCCCAGCTCTGGCCTTGATGCCAGACAATTCAGTTGTCACTGGTCTCTTTCAAGCTGCTACCCTGGTGCTGGAGCTCAGAGCAAATGAATCCGTAAGTCCAAGTATGGGTTAAGAGGAACTGCTGGGGACTCCAGAAGTTTCTACCACTGACTCAATCCCTGCTGCTCTTTGCAGCCAGAAGTTATTGGGACTTTTCTTCCTAGCACTGAAGCCCCTGGCTGAGGGGCATGGAGTAGGGCAGAGATTCCTCACTCTAGAGATATCCCTCCCAAATTAAAAAAAATGTAATCTTATTTTTCCATTAACATTTAGTCCTGTTATACCACCCTCTCCCCAGAAATTACCACACTGTTGTCTATATCCATAAGTCCTTTCTCCTTAATCCCTTCACCCCCTTACTCCTCTCAACTGTCATCTGCTCTCCATCTATGAGTCTGTCTGTTTTGCTTGTTAGTTCAGTTTGTTCATTAGATCCCACATGAGTGAAATCATGTGGTATATTTCTCTTACTCACTTACTTCACTTAGCATAATGTTTTTCAGGTCCATCCACACTGTTGCAAAGGGTAAAATTTTCTTTTTTTATGGCCAAGTGAAATTCCATTGTGTAAATGTCCCATAGTTGTTTCTTCCACTCATCTACTGATAGACACTTGGGTCACTTCCATATCTTAGCAATTGTAAATAATGCTGCAATGAACATAGGGGTGCTTATGGGTTTGTTTTTTTTTTTTTAATTACTGTTTTGGGTTCCTTTGGATATATTCCCAGAAGTAGGATTCCTGGGTTGAAAGGCAGATCCATTTTTAATTTTTTGAGGTATCTCCATACTGCTTTCCACAGTG